GAGTTGGAGGTTGCTGTGAGCGTGATGCCATGGCACTCTACCCAGGGGGATAGCTTGAGGCTCCGTCTCAAAAAACAAACAAACAAACAAACAAACAAAAAAAGATACAATGGTAAATCCAAATAGTTATGCACCTTTTAAATTTCAGTTGAATTATTTTCCAAAGTTTTTTTTATAGTCTTAAGACTATAAAACCCATAACCTAGCTTATCTTTTACATGTTCTTATCAAAAAGCAAACTTTCTAGATTAAACATTTGGCAATATAGGAAGAAAGGGTGTGTAAAGCCTCAGAAATTAAAATTCATATAAACATTTACAAATTTTATTATGTGTAATACAGGCAAAAAATAATGTTTTTAAAAAGATAGAAAATAAGGAAGAAGGAAACATTTACTTTACCTTATAGGTGTAAACATATTCTCATGCCACCGAATTGCTAGAAATGTTAACTTCAGGCATTCTCCAGAATAAAAAGCAAATGAACAGAAGCAGCAGTCTCCAAATAACTGTAGATAAATTTAATATACTTTAGTATAAAATTAATCTGAAAATAAGATATCAAAAAACACAAAAACATATCCCTCACGGCTCGGCGGAGCCCAAGAGTTTGAGGTTGCTGTGAGCTATGATGCCAAGGCAACAGAGTGAGACTGTGTCAAAAAAAAAAAAAAAAGCAGCTAATTTAAATAACTTTACTAATACACAATATTAAGTTGGACTAGAAAATATCAATTTAAAGAATGTAAAATAGTATTTAGAAAAAAAGAAATCATCTTCAAGGAAAAAAAAATCTCAAAACTGGAATCAAACCCCTCTTGATATAGATTATTTTCTAAGACAGTTTATATTTACTGACCTTGGGGTCTTTCTGATTAAGAGTTACTGCCAGGGTAAGGCCATCTCTGGAAAAGGCAGCAATTAGAGCTCCTCTTGACTTCACTGATTCACATTTAGGAATAAGACTACACAGAAGACATTCTTGTTGTGCCCAATGAACATGATATGGCAACACTCTAAGAAAGAATAAAATAATTAAAGACAGAAAGTATAATTTTTAGGGCAGCGCCTGTGGCTCAAAGAGTAGGGTGCTGGCCCCCTAAGCTGGAGGGTGGCAGGTTCAAGTCTGACCCTGGCCAAAACTGAAAAAAAAAAAAAGGTATAATTTTTAAATTGATACACAGTTAATTACAAAAAATGTAAAAGTTCACCCAAATTTCTACATGTATCTATATACTTAGGAGACTTCTTAGAGACCATTCAGAAGTTTCATCCAGGGCACAAAGATCAGCTGCCAGTTAGTTAAATAAGTTCAATATCTGAGTTATGTTAGTAGAGCAATGTTCCACAATCAACCCCAAATACACTGGTTCCGT